TAGTAGTAGTAGTAGTTGCACTACTACGACTACTACCACTACTACTAGCAGCAGCAGCAGCAGCAGCAGCAGTATCTGTAGTAGTCGTTCTCGTAGTAGTAGTAGTAGTAGTAGTAGTAGTAGCAGTAGTAGTAGTAGTAGTAATATTAGTAGTAGTAGTGAAAGTCGTAGTATTAGAAGTATTATTTGTAGTAGTAGTAGTAGTAGTCGTAGTAGTAGTAGTAGTAGTAGTACTAGTAGTAGTAGTAGTAGTAGTAGTAGTAGTAGTAGTAGTAGTGCTAGTAGTACTAGTAGTAATTGTAGTATTCGTATTAGTTAAGATGCTTATGATTAGTAATAGTAGTCGCAGTAGTAGTAGTAGTAGTAGTAGTAATAGTAGTAGCAGCAGTAGTAGTAGTAGTAGTAGTAGTAGTAGTAGTCGTCGCAGCAGTAGTAGTAGTAGTAGTCGTAGTAGGAGTCGTAGCCGTAGTCGTAGCGTAGTCGTGTTAGTAGTAGCAGCAGCAGCTAGCAGCGCAGCAGTTAGTAGTTGTTGTTGTATAGAGGTAGTTGTAGAGTCGTAGTTGTTAGTAGTAGTATTAGTAGTAGTCGAGTAGTTCGTATGAAATAGAAATGAAGACCATAATAGTAGTAGTAATCGTAGTAGCAGTGGTAGCAGTGGTCGTGGTAATCGTAGTTGTGGAGCATCTGTCTCCGCTCTTTGTCTCAGTCCTCTCTCGCCTGCCTGGGCTTCGCGCGTGCAGCTATCGCAGCACACATCCATATCTGCGGCGCGTGTATCATTCGACCGTGTGGCATACGTCCCATTGCTCCTCCACGGGTGGTCTTGTGCTCGTCTTCGCACCATCGCATCCGCATGCATTTTTTGTCTTGCCACCATCCCGCTTCCGCTTCTGGTCTTTGTTTCTGAGGCTCACAGGTGCCCATGTGCCGATGGTAATTCAATGTTGCCAGTTTGTCTGGGTTGGACCCGACGCTTTACAGTTTAGAGGCGTCCACCGCGGGAAGCTGATACCGCCGTGCGGACGCCATGGCGGTCCAGCGACTGGCGTCGCCGACGCTGGCATCGCCGACGCCGCGCGGCGATTGCTTTCGTGGCGGCCGCGCCGCGCTTTCCTGTGGCAGCGGCGAGGTTGGTTGCGATGTGCGCAGGTTCTGTCCAGTCGAAATGCTGCTATCCCGCGCTTCGTGGAGTCTGCCCCCGAGGGTGGGTGGTCTTGCGGCCGCCGCAGCGACGCCTTCGGGGTAGGTTTCGCTGGCGCGTTCAGCTCAGCGGGCCCGAGAGCGAGCCGCAGTCGCTTCGGGCCGCCCGCCAGAGAGGGGGGCAGGGGGAGGGAGAGAGGATTGAGGGGAGGAGTATGATGAGGAAGAGGAGGGGGCACACGAAAACCATATGATCAACGACGCCGAAGTAGCGGTAGCCACCTGGAGGCACGAGCCTAGACATGTTTGATCTCGACAGGACAGCCCGACATGAAGAAGACGGGGGGGCAGCAGGAGCGCGCTATCCTCGCCAAGTCCGTTGGCGTACCTAAGGCTTGACCCGTGCACGAGAGTGGCTTCCCTTTCGGTTGCAGCTCATCTGGACTTGGACCATGCGCTGTCTTGCATGTCATCATGTCCTTCTCCACCCGGCACGTTCTTGGCGTTCTGCCACCCTGAAATCAAACGCCGTTCATCGGGCTTCTTGCCCCCTCAGACCACGGCGGCCAGCGGCGGGCTTCCGCCCCGTGCTTGGTTGCCCCCTCCCTGCTCTCTCTCTCTCTCTCTCTCGGCGACGAGCGACGGGGGGAAGTGACAAGGCGAAGGCCTTCTCAGAAGGCGGCGGGACTTCTCAGAAGCCCTCGCGCCTCCCGAGAAGTTTTCTGTCCTCGGGCAAGGCGCAAGCAACTCCTCGGAAGGCCAGGAGGGGCTTCCGAACCTTCTGAGCAGGCCTCCTCCTTCTCGCTTCACCCCCTCGCTCGCCGCCGACCCTCCCTCGGTCCCTCCGCCTGCTCTCAAGTCGGGCCCGTCCCTCCACAGGAGGAAAATTCCCAAAAGATGGTAAAACAACAGGCTGGGGGCTACCTCTGGGGCATCTCCTGACCATCTGGGCGCATTTCTTGCGCATTCTGTGATCTATTTTTCGTCGAGACTCCCCCTCTAGGGGGGACACGCCCGACTTACGCCTGCGCCCTCCCCGCCCGCGCGGGCCGCAGCGCTTCAAGCGCTGCGTGCTCGCGCGGGGCCACGAGCCCCGCTCGTGCCCCGCCGCCGGCGCCGGCGCCTGCCCCCCCCGCGCAGCCGGCGCGTCTGCCCCGGCGCCGCGCGGCCGAGGCCCGGCACCGCGGCGCCGCCCCGCCGCCCCGGCGGCGTCCGCGGCCCTTCTCGGCCGCGCTGCGCCCGAGCTGTGCTCACCGAGCGCGCGCCACTGCTCTGAAGTCGGGCCTGTCCCCCTACAGGGGGGTTTTCCACGAAACATATACACAATACCCCAAGAGTAGTCCAGAAGTAGTCTGAAGATAGGCAGGGGACTATTTTTGGAGCATTCTTTGACCTTCCTGGGGTATGTTTGGGGGTATTTTTTAGTTTTCGTCGAAAGTCCCCCTGTAGGGGGACACGCCCGACATGACACTGCTCGCAAAAAAGTGCCTACGCGCAAGCGCCCGAGAAGCGCATGCTTCCCTTGAGGTAATGTATCGTAGATCCCCCGCGGCGGCTGCAGGCCATTCGCGAGCAGCTGCTTTGCGAGTAGCGGAACGCGCTTAACGCGCTTGCCTAGCCGCTGTGCACCCGAGCTGTGCAGCCATGCCCGGCGCTCCGTGCTGAAGAAGAAAAAACAAACGCCATGAACATAAACTTTCGGCGCTCCGCGCGGATTTCTTGGATCCGCGCTGGGCCCCGGGCGGCGCCTCGGGCGCCGCCCGTGGCGCGCTCCGCGCGCCAGGGAGGGGAGTCCAGCGCAGATCCAAGAAATCCGCGCGGAGCGCCAAAAATTCATATTCGTGTTGTTCTTTCTTCTTCTTGTGGAGTGATTGATGGCGATCAATCCACGACCTGGAGGATCGCTCCGTTGCGCGCGTGTTGTGTCGTAATGTCCTCCCTGGTCTGCGCTCTGCGCTCTGCGCACTTGCCACCTGGACGCCTGTGGCCACCCCCTGGGATCACCTTCGCGTGACAGCTGTGACAGTGTTGTCTCGTATCCATGATTCGCGCTTTGGCCACCAGCGGCAGTCTAGTTCTTGTATTTGCTGTCTTTCGCACGACTCACTCGTACCTGGGCGTGTCACCCTCCCGCTGCACACCCAGTTCACGTCGAGTTGTCTTCAGCACATCCCGATTATCCTCACGCTCTGAGGCCATCCCCTGCCGTGCGCGCTTGTCTTCTCTTTTCCACCTGCGCCGCAATTAGCTTCACCAGCGCCCCAGCGCAGCTCCCCTGCAACTCGGATCTGCGACGCCGCGACCAAATGGGCCATGCCAGCCAAGGAGCACTGGACGGTGGAGGAGGAGGAGGAGGAGGAGGAGGAGGAGGAGGAGGAGGAGCAGCAGCAGCAGCAGCAGCAGCAGCAGCAGCAGCAGCATCAACGGCACCAGGAGAATTGGCACGAGAGCAGGTGGAGTGGGCGGGGGGGGGGGGCAGAAGGAGGAGAACAGGCGCGGCGACGGCGGGGATGAAAGACAAGGAAAAATGCACAGCACAAGGAGGAGGAGGTGGATGGAGGTGGGTAGAGGAGGAGGAGGAGGAGGAGGAGGAGGAGGAGAGAGTAGGAGGAGGAGTAGAGGATAGAGGAGGAGGAGAAGGGGACGGAGATGCGTAGCAGGGGAGGAGGCGGAGGAGAGGATGAGGGAACGGAGGAGGAGGGGAGGAGGAGGGGGAGGAGGAGGAGGAGGAGGGGGAGGAGCAGGAGCAGGAGGAGGAGCAGGAGCAGGAGGAGGATGAGCAGGGGGAGGCGGAAAAGGAGGAAGGAACGGAGGAGTAATGGCAGGGGTAGGAGAAGGAGGAGGAGGAGGAGGAGGATGTGCTACAATCCCGAGGATTATATTCCGCTAAACGTGAAAAGGAGGAGGAGGAGGAGAGGAGGAGGACACGCGGCAGGCTCTGCGAGGCCGAGGCACGGGAGGGCGGCGCGGGGGCCCCCACAAGGGGCCAGAACGAGTCTTGGGCTCCACGCCGCCACTTCGCCTCTCCCTCCTCTCCTCGCGCCCTTAGGCCGAGGATGGGAGGATGGAGAGAGGGGGAGGTCGAGGGCTTGATGTGCTGTGTGCCCTCACTGGTGTTGTTCTTGCTCTGATTCCGGGCCCTCTTCGGTGTCCTGGGCCCTGCGCCTACTGACTCTAGAGGACCGTTTAGGTGCTGCGTCGGCTGCCCCATTTGGGGGGGCTCTGGGATGAAGTTGCAGGGCCTCCCCCCCCAGTCGTCTTCTCACCGAGAGCCTGCCTGACCTGACCTGACCTGACTTCTCTTCGCGCCGCGGAGGGGCGGGCCATCTCAGTCCCCCGCTGGGGCCCCTGCGCCCCTCTCTTGCCTCGGCACCACCGTCATGGGCACGGGAAGGAGAGGGAAGAAGGCAAGCAGCAGCTTCTGTCCTTTTGAGACCGGACTCGTTGCCAGTGTCGCTGCGGGCGTTGTCCATTTGAGGCAAAAGGCTCGTCTGTGCAGCAGCATCCGCTGTCGGTTTTGGGCGATTGGGCATCGCGGCTACAGTTTCTGCACCCACTGCGGGCGCGCCGACGCTTCTGGCATTCCCTCTCCCCTCCTCTCCCCCCTTGCGCTTGCTTCCCACCCGTTCACTTGTCCTCATTTCCCCATTTGCCCCCCCTCCTCTCCAAGGGAGGGGCCGAGTAGCCACGGGGACGTTCTGTTTCAATCAAGCAGCACAAGCAGCAGTTCGTTTTCGCCCATCGGTTGGACCCCATGTTGAACGCTCGCGTTGACTCTCAGTGGTGACGCGCTGGTACCCATTCCCCTCCGCTTTCAGTGTGCCCTCCTCCCGCCTTTTGCCGGGAGTGACTGCCTCCAGGTGGAGGTTGTTCGAGGCGTCTTCGGACGATGACCCCTCGCTCTGCAACGCGGCATTGCACCTTTGCGCCAAGGCCGCTGGG